GTGATGGGGGTTTGAAATAGAGTGGGGAAGGTTGAAAAATATTCTCCTTTTGGTAGGAAAAACAAGAGGAAAATGAGTTCATAGGAAAAATATTTTCCAAAACATTTAAGCCAACTAAACCTAGAAAAATTAAAAAATATTTTTGAGAAAATGTATTCCTTCGTAACAAACACACCCATAAAGGAAATTGTACGATTTTTGAAGGCTCCGATTTCTTAGTGTCTAGCATCAGACCTGTTCATACTAATAAAAGAAAAACTTTTGCGTAGCTAGGGAACATGATATCTTATAGAAGTGGTGAAAGAACAAGACCCCCCTGTGGTGTTTTGAGGACATCACGTGGAGGTTACGGTGGTTTCAATTTTGCAAGTTCTCTGTCAAAACAAACCACAGTTTGCTCATGATATAAGAGAATGATTTACAATTGTTTAAAATTTACAATGAACTCTTTAGTTGACGTTACTGAAAACGAATGCTAAACAAACGCTTTCTGGCCCCAAAAGTGGACTACCGCATGAAAGTAGAAAGGATCTTACCAAAAAAGATAACCAAACTAATCAATCATCTAGGCTATATAATGTAAAGAATCAGAACAAAAGCACACAAAGCAGCACTAAACTAGTCGGAGAAGTTTGATTTCACTTCGTCATAATCGTCATCATCTGAATTAGCTAGGTGGTCAAAGAAAGCATCAAGGTACCAAGGGCATTTGTCGTTCCATGAACTCCTGTTAGCATGAGCTCGCCATTTTTGGTCTGAAATCATTTCAGGTGAGAGTCCCCATTCTAGCATCTCTTCTTCAGTATGGTGGACTGCTAAACTGTATTCGCCACCAAGTCCTAATTGTATAACTCGAAATTCACAATTCCCTAAATTGTTTAGGTACTCAAATTGCTCAACCGTCCACTTGAACCACTTCATCAGAAAGACACGACTAGCTAGCCCATGGGATATAATCACAAGATTCAAATCGTCATTAGGGTCATGGTGGAGTCTGTTCATATCAATGTCCCTCCAAAGAGATTCAAGAAAACCTGAAAGAAAAAGCTTTCAACATGCAATTGACAAAAATACTACCAAAAGTTCATAGAATTAACACTTCAAACTGAAGAATTGCATCTCAATTGAGAAAGTTCTCGCTCCTTTTCTCTTCTTTTTTTTTTTTGTAAAAATATTTAAGCACGGTGCATTGAGCAAGTTGCCACACTCTGTTTCAAGTAAAAACTTAAAGAGATGACCCAACTATGACCAGAGTAGAAGGAATCTTTAGAGACACATAATATGATGGTACAGTATTCTTTACACCAAGTTCAGCATCATCATTAGCTGAGCCTATTTTATTTCGGGATCAAGGTATAATTAGTTTAGGCCAGATGATCCCTAATCCTTAATTCAAATTTAATCCAGTAAAACCAAAACAAGATCACAGATTGATTTCAACAAATAAGGATCTATTGCCAAACTTGGATTAGCAATTCAACTTGCTTGTACAATATGAAAATTAGTTCAGACACCAAATTATTGAATAAACTATCTCAAATGAAACACCAAATACAATAGCAAACAGATTGAAGAACCATCACACTCCGTATATATTAAAATAATAGATAATTTTTCATCAAATTAATTTTCATTTACCACCTAAAGAATATGCATATGTGCAGGATCCAAGGAATTTTCAGGTATTTGTGCACTAACAGTGTGTATAATATTCACTTCCAAAGGGATCAAAAATCTGTAAAGCTGTCTCTGCCATTTAGATCGTTTTGCCAAAATCTGATAATAAGGTAGTCAAGCGACTAGAACATCTTATCTCTGGCCAGAACATCTTATCTCTGGCCAGCAGTACCCCTTCGAGTAAATCTAGTAGTATGAATACCAGAACTACCGAAAATCTGTAAATAACATGATATGTATAGTGCACAAATGCAAATATACACATTTGAACACAATTAGTACGGTAAGATATATGAGGACTGCAAAACAAAACAAGACGCGCAACTCCCTGCATTTTTAGTGCTTGAAAAATTGATCATTCAGCTATAATCCTTTTCATCAAATACTGACCTCAAATTGAATATCTCAAAGCTGAAAAAGCTTCTTATCATTGTGATATTGCAATTTGCATGAAACAGTCAGTTCTCTTCAATAGATAGTTCAAGAGAGGTGAATGTCAAAGAAAGTGGACGAGCGNAAAAAAAAAAAAAAAAAGAAATGGAGAAACAGCCCTTTACCTGTACTATAATTGGCCTGGGAAATCCTAAGAGTGTTTTCTTCTTCTTTTTTTTTTTGGATAAAGCCTGGGAAATAATTATAGTAAATAAAAGAAGTATGACTACCATGAACATGATATGTGTGACATATCATAAGGTAAGAGCATGACATAATATTAAATTGAATTTCCCACACATGACATGATATGTGTGACATAAGGTAAGAGCGTTATCCCATAAAAGCAGGTCAAGAACCACTTTATCACATAATGGAACAACAAAAAGTATTATGTTACATGAAGACTAAAATTTTTTACAAGTGAAGATTATATTATTTATATCGTAGTATAGTCTAAAAGGCATCAGAAAGATGTAAGCAGTCCTGCTATCATATTCTTAGTTAAGAATGAAAAAGAATTCTTTGTATACCAAGCTCTCTTTCATCCTGGCCAATATGCTGGAAGGACCAAATCTTATATATTCAGCTTTACATCAAAAAAAGGCAGGAAACATCTTGTAGACAACAGCACTTCTTCTGGTTAATAACATCTAGTGTGTTGGATGAAATTAGCCATCTAATGGTTGCATATTTAAGGAGTAGCATGCTTTCAATCACGAAAAACATTGACATAAACCAATACACAACTGTAAGACAGACAGGATAATTTTGGTCACCAACAGATATGATAACAACCAGGAGCTCCAATAATAATTGAGAATACTGGACAGGATAAGTTTCAGGTAATTCCTCTGAACAGTCAAAACATTGAAATGCAATAACAAGGAAGAATCAAAGAGTAGAAAATCACAACCTGGCCATCTTTTCCCCACCTTACCCCTGATGGCTGTAATCAGTGGCTTACACTTACAACACTTTTCTTCTGCTTTTCTTTGTTTTCTGGTACTACTTATTATCAGGTACAATGTTATGCTGAATTACGTTCACGCACGATATAAGGAACCCATTGCAATGTAAAATTACTATCATGAATATGTTTAACATGGGCATTACCTTAAGGGGTGGACATACTAGAACCTATACTGCCTCTTTGTGATCTCATATCAATATATGCCCATGCTGGTGATAGACCTCAGTCATGGTTTGATAATCTTTGGTGTAAAACTTAACTGGATAAGGTTACTCTAGGAAACGGCAGTTCTCCAGGAGATGGTGTCTAATCATTCCCAGATCAGCATAGCCATCACACACCTGCCTTTGCTACGGGTGGGAAAAAAAGCCTATGAAAATTATAGTTCCACTTTTATGTCTAATCGTATACACCACACGGAAGTGCAATGTTCCTAACTAATTTGAGAAAATCAGCTAAATATATTAAAAGCAGAGATCAAATTTGAGCCATCAACAAGGGTATTCATTCTCAAGTTAAAAATCAAAATAAAAGATAACAAACTCTATTACACCAGATCTAACAGTACTATCCAACAATCAAGTATCCAATTTCTACTGTGTTTGACTACAACAACAAACATGAACAGACAGCCTCTGAGACTCCAATCTGCAGGGCATTCACATGAATCAGCATTTGAGCCATAAAGAGTTTAAATCCACTGGGAAAAAGGAAGAAGGAGAACAAGAAGAGGAAATATGTCTGGAGCAAGAAGGAAAGAGAGAGGAGAGAAGAAGAGAGAACCAAATAAGAGTAGAGAAGGAAAGGGAGAGAGATTCAGAGAAGAAGTATATCAGAGATAGAGAAGAACAGAGGGGAAGAAGAAGCATCGAGAAAAAGATGCTCTCAGATTTTCCATCTTTTCTACACTATAGGTTCCTGGTATTTATACATGAATTGTATGGCATGTCGGTGGACGTAAAGGGAAATGCATGAGCTGTTGTGTTACTTTCTGTGTCCCATACTTTCTGTGTCCCAATTCAACTTGCATTGCCTCTCACCACTCCAAACTTCTGAATTTGTTTTCTAGGTACATATTGGGTTCAAAACAAAAAGAATTGCACCTGAACTTATCTATCTACTTAGTGTCTTAGAACATGGCGAAAAAAGTCCATAGGCTATGCAGTAATTCTTATATGAAGCCACTCCAAAATATAATTAATCCATCAAAGTTGAATCTCGATGAAGCTTAGTGACATTAATCTTGGTCAAAACTTGATCAAATGTGTCTTAGCAACCAAAAACAATTTTGTCACAAATACAACAGAACATCATACACTAAAATAACTAATTGAGTTTAACTTTTGTGCCCCGACATTAGCATTAGCCAAAACTCATTCTATTACCCGATCTTAGGCGGACGATTGTTTCTAT